CCAGGCCGCGGCGGCCGCGGGCATCACTCGCGAATCGCCATGTTAGTTTCTGCCTAACGGAGCATTACGGTGTTCAGTTCTTTTTCCTGTTTGTGTGTGTTTTTTACATCGCACGGTAAATAAAACTGAAGGTCCGCAAATACCTGCGACTGACTCCTCTTTGTTCTTAGAAACACTCCCCAAAAACACCCACAACTACCGTCCAAGTCCCACCCCAGGTTCCCAACCGTCTTCTCTTCTGGTGCAGTGTCTTCAATGACCTGCGCAGGGCACGCTGGACGATGAAGTGCGTTTCCCGCAGCGGGCTGGCAGCACCTGGACTTCCAAAAAGGATCCCTTAGTCTTGGGTCGACTGCTTAAGCCACTTGTTACACTTGTTTTTTTTCCAGTTGACATATTGTAAGGAGTACCCAAACAATCCATGTATGGAATATTGGGCTACCTGAGTCAAGGTTATTTCAGTCCCATGGCATGTTTGGGCTAAAGACCATCTTCCGATCCTGCCTTTTGACATCCTTTGACAACGCTTTGGACATGACGGCCATGGCACCCGCGAAACCAATCCCGTCGGACAGTGGCACCAACAACCTGTTCTTGCAGCTGTAAAAAAATAACATACATGTTGATCTTTCCTGAGTACCGGGTGCTGACTACTTTGCCTGTGGATCACAGACATAAATTTGGTTTACATCCATGAACTCGCTAGACTCTAGACCAATTTCTCACCAGGCAACGTTAACCACAACCACAAATCACCACAAAACAAGGCTGACAAGGTTGACCGACCCATATGTTGCCCCATCAACAACCAAAACCGCCCGTAAACAAACACAAACAACGTCTCGGTAGGGGAACATGTCATCATGTTCATCGAAAGTTGTTGTGGCCCTGGGGCCAACTGGGTGTTTTATATTGTTTCCTTTGGCTTTGCAGGGGGTAAGGAACCCACAGATCCACTGAACAAGTCCAACCCTCCCTCTCAAATATCCAACCCTTCGAAACAAATGTTCATGACCTTCTCAGCCTTCTCCGGTTCTTCTTCACCTTGCAAAGGAAAAAACAGTGTTTCGCTCCGGTCCTGTGTTTCACCGTCGAATCATCAGGATCTGTCATCTGTCGTCGGCACCATGATAATCATGGCGCCGTCAAACAACTATCATGATCGGTTTTCATCGGATTGCTCCACAAGGGCAACCAAACAAAGCTGCATGCAACCAATCTCGTTCCGAAACTGAACGAGGTTGCCATGATCAATGTGAACACAATACTATGAAGTTCACATGTTATGCGCAACGAATATAGGGAATTTGGTTCGAAAACTTAAACACCAACACTGTCTCTGTTCGGACTGAACACGCATTCTATGATTTGGAACTGCCAAACAGAAAACACCCGCAGACACACACATTGTCGCAATGATGCCTGCAATTTTGCCAATGCGTGGTTTTGAGTGCCTTCACGACCTTTCGCCAACCCACTTGCACCTGAAACATCCTCCTCTTCCTCCTCAGCCTCCAACTCCTCCAGATCCTCCAGATCGATCGAACCGGAATGGCCTACAAAGTCATGATGCCGCGGACTAGGACAAACATGTTCCAAGACGAATCAGACGAAAGTTGATCTTGATCTTGCAAGGGTAATTCGAGTTCATGGGGCGTTTGGAGCTAGTGCTAGGCATGCAAGACATGCAAAACAAAGCCAAGGGTTGGTGTTTGAGTTATGCAGATTAGTTGAGACTGATAAAAACCAGAGTCGCAAAGCCAGTGTGGGTTGGCTACCCTGTCAATGTTGGAGTTTCCCACACCCTGCCGTCCACAGGCCTCACGTCCAACAGGGGCAGTCTGAGCCCTCTGCAGCTTCTTCTTTCCTTGGGGAACTTCTGAAACCTGCAAAAGCAGTGGCAAAGTCCTGTGTGGTCCCGTGCACGTCAGCTCACGCAGCACTTTTTGCTGGTGTACACCGCCAGTGGGCTCCGGCTCTCTCTCTTTCGCACTTGACAACGCCGTGGGGCGAGGCGATCCGATCCGCTAGGCGAAGTGACCAAAACGGGTCAAACCTAAGCCTTGGAGGTCTTGTATATCTCCATCACTTCAAGGCGGCAACACATAGAGGATGGCCCGTGGAGGGCGTTTCTTAGATTCAGGCTTGCGGTTAACCCATTTTGCACGGAGAGAGCTTTCCTCTGTGGTCGAAACTTGACTTGCAATATGTTTGTTGACACCGGCACCCTCTCTTTATGATTCTTCGTAATCTATCTATTTGGGGACTACGGACTACTACAATTGTATCACCTTGCTGGAGAATCTGCTGTTCTTCTGGTTTCCAAAATTCAATGAACTACCTCTGTTTCTTAATTGGGATATCCGGGATATCACCATCCGTACTTGCTGGATAATCATGACAAGCACCTGCCAAACAAAGCATCATCAAAAGTACTAAACATCACATCAACTCTGTCTTAGTATATATAGATCTGGTGTTTTTCTATCCATAAAGCATGACCAATTCATCTATAATATAGACTGTAATATACACCCTGCACACCGCTACACCATCCTCTCCCCCAACAAAAAGCAACAAACATCCACCATCCTGACCCGGTCCGCGCTCTCAGCGAGGGTTTTTTTCAGCGGTGGAGCTGGATCTTCGGCGAAGGACATGTGTTCACCGAATAGCCTGGAAGAGCCTCCGTCCAAAACTCGAGGTGAAAACTGTGTGATGTTCCTTATTTTAGTGATAGTGCACCCAAGAAACAACTCCAAGTCGCACATTTCGTGTTGTTTAAAGACAGAGCACGAGGTTTCTTTATACTTGCTTTATATATACGATATATATATATATATGGGTGTGGCCAGAAACCCTGGTATGGATCGTTCCGCGGTGCAGTGAGAGTGATCCAAACCCTATGGATCAGAGCGCTGATCCAAGCCCTATGGATCAAACCGACAAGTCACTTGATCCAAGCCCCCGACATGAACACATCTGCATGGTGGCACTTCACCCCACCACTTTCTCACCAATTCACTGTGAAGGTGGTGGCTTCCCAGATCAAAGCCATCCTGTTTGTGGCAAGCCTGTTTTGAAGTTCTGGCCGCTGTGAATTTGGGCTCCACTGTCCACATATTGGGCATGGTTGGGTGTAGAGTGGTGGCAATGAGTGTTGGGTTTCATTCTTTCTCCAACTCAAGCAGACGACGCAAGAAGCCCAAAAAGGCCATCAGCTGGCCACGCATATTGGTGACTCAGTGGGCTCTCAAGACATTTAACAGGTGGTGGCTTCAGCTCTAGATTGGAGGCTCACGAACACTGGTTAGTGGCTGCCGCTAATTCTGTTTGGCCTTGATATTGTGTCCTAGCACCTTCTTTAATATGGCTTATTTGGGTTGGCTTCTCTCGGTTTCTAATTTTTCAATTCGACAGTGTGAGGGTTCGAGTCCCGGCTGTGACCACACGTAGGGGCTTCCGGTAATTAATTTTTGGGTGGAATGGGAAGTCAATTTGAAGTTGAGCCTAGTGGCTTCCGCTAAATCTGTGGTGGTGGTAATACTGGTGATAGT